GAACAGTCTAGATCCATCTTCTTTGGAACCCCCTTTCAGGTAGTTGAAAGCAGCTATCGAATTCCCCCCTCATTCTTCTCTTCTGCAGACTAAACAATCCCAGTTCCCTCAGCCTCTCCTCATAAGTCATGTGTTTCAGTCCCCTAATCATTTTTTGTTGCTCTCCGCTGGGCGCTTTCCAATTTTTCCACATCCTTGTAGTGTGGGGCCCAAAATTGGACACAGTACTCCAGATGAGGCCTCACCAATGTTGAATAGAGGGGAACGATCACGTCCCTCGATCTGCTGGCAATGCCTCTACGTATACATCCCAAAATGCCGTTAGCCTTCTTGGCAACAAGGGCACACTATTGACTCTCAACCAGCTTCTCGTCCACTGTAACCCCTAGGTCCTTTTCTGCAGAACTGCTGCCGAGCCATTAGGTCCCTAGTCTGTAGAGGTACATGTGATTCTTCTGTCCTAAGTGCAGGAGTCTGCACTTGTCCTTGTTGAACCTCATCAGATTTCTTTTGGCCCAATCCTCTAATTTGTCTCGGTCCCTCTGTATCCTATCCCTACCCTCCAGTGTATCTACCACTCCTCCCGGTTTAGTGTCATCTGCAGACTTGCTGAGGGTGCAGTCCACGCCATCCTCCAGATCATTAATTAAGAATATTGAACAAAACTGGCCACAGGACTGACCCTTGGGGCACTCCGCTTGATACCGGCTGCCGACTAGACATGGAGCCATTGATCACTACCCATTGAGCCTGGCGATCTAGTCCCCTTTCTATCCACATCGTGACATCAGACTCTAAGCCGTCTACTGTGCTGCTCGTAAGAATAGCTTCTTTAGTGTGGATGAAAGCGTGACTGTGTGTTTGAGAGGAGTAAGAAAAGGAGGTGCCAGCGTGATATGTAACCTAAACACGTTCAGGCCGGTACTTCCCCTGGCTTTGGCATTGAGCTAGACTTTGAGGTGGGAATAGTCTGAGCTCAGAGTCATCTGTTCAGCACGTGCGCTGCCAGCTGTGCTGAATTGCTTGTGAAGGTTTAAGATACGTATTGCTAACTATAAGGAATGAAGGAAGACACTCACTTTGCTGAGGACTTGCCTGTATGTATCTGCCAACTAATATACTAATAGCACAGAGCTAGTGTGCATCTCTGTGTGTTTGAATTCTATGAGTTGGGAGGTTATGAATAAACTGATTAGAGGGGCAAACAGTGGGTGGGCTTATTCTTGTTTGGGATAAGGTGGGAGGACAGAGTATAATCTTCTATGAGATGATCTCTTGAAAAACAAAACTTTAAACTAAGTTGAGTTTGTTTTACTGTTCATTGTGATCTTTTTCGCTTTGTGTGGAATGAATGGTGGACAGCTGATGAGTTGAGTTCTTTAAATTTTGCAAAGACCTAAAGAGTTTTTCCATACCAAGAAATGAACACCATACATCTTTCGTAAAATTGAGAGATTGCTCATGTAAATAGCTTGTGGCCTATTGACTAAAAATTAGTACATAGTGCTAAGGGTACAGGAGAAATTAGGTGTGCATGCAGGCAACATTTTCTGCCTAGAGTCAAACGCATTTGAGCCTAATGCTAATTATGCTTTTCAGTTTCACCCTTGTGGGATTCTATTGGCTTCAGTGGAGTTACTGTGGCATGAGATCAGAATCAGGCCCATTATAAAAGGCGGTGGGATCAAGGATGTAAAATGGGCATAATACAATTGACAAGTAGTGGTTTGTCTAGGTTGAAAACATCCTGGAGAAATGCATATGCTGCTAGTGTTGACTTGCTGAACATCACAGTGGTGAGGTTCCTGCTGGAGCTGAGAGCCAGCATTGCTGTTCAAAAGTCAAAGGAAAAGTTTGTGTACACCATCTGGAGAGGTGGCTATGCCAAAAAATGTGTCTGGAATGCATAGGGGAGGAGACGGTGGGGGTGGGACACTGTGTGGGCAGAAGAGGAAGGTCTGACTCAAATGACTCTCAAGATATCTGGGCAAGCATAGTGGAGACAGTGACACAAGTGTCACACCATGAAGGCATATTGAAATTCACCCCAGCTTGTGATGAGGGAAAGAAAACAATCATGAGTACATAATGCAAACACTCACCATTACCACCTCCAGTTTTTCAACGTGTGGTATGTTGGTTTTTTCAGGTGCAATGTGTATAATAAGAGAATATATGAAAATGGCATAAATCTTAAAATACTTGTTTCTGGCCTCTTATTCTGTATGTAGGCAGATGGCCCCTGGGAGAAAGTAGCTCTAAGTTGGCAGAAGAGGTAAAACTTGACTGTGGGCTTTTTAGTAAATGTAATTCCCTGACTTAGTGTTCAGCAAAGAAAGCTAAAGGACAGATGCTAGAGACATATTTTATCTTAGAAAGGAAACATACCCGGGAGAAACTGATATTGTGCCAGAGCATGTGATTAAGAGAGTATATAGACCGAAAAATCCAGGACCAGATGGGATCCAAATCAGGATTCTGAAGGAAGCAGAAATTGGGGGCATACCTGATAGATTGGAGAGTAGAAGGAAAGCATATGTTTTAGGCACATCCGGGGAACTAACATCCATTAAAACAGAAGCATGAACAACATGGACTCCCAAAAGGAAGAACGTGGCTAGTAAATCCAGTGGAGCTTTTCAAGGATGTAACCAAGAGTGACCTGGTGAAACTATGGACCTAGTAAGTGCTATAGAACTATTTGAGTGGATAACTAATTGGCCATTGTAGACCAATCATAATTCCAAGTGAAAGCGTTTTTGGAGAAAGGGATAGCGCAAGGCTTGGGGGAGTGATTTTCATTAGTGATCTGGAAGAAGGAAACATTGCAGTGAGATGACAATTGGCTGAGGATATAAAAAGGGCAGTGCCAATCTTTCTTTTGCAGAGCAAAAGACATTCAGAAGAATGTTGTCTGTTAAGCAAGTGGTCTGGACAATTCACTGCAGAGAATGTAGGCTGATAGTGAAAGACCAAAATAATAGAAATAGACTATCCACTCTATCTACAGCAGGACACTGAGTAGGCAGAGGAGCTGGGGTTAATTTTTGATGCAATTCAAAACTTTTTTGTTTTATTAAACATCAGAATTCAGTGTTGAGGAGGGCATAGGTGAGCATCTGTAGGTTAGAGGAAGAGACTTAACGCAGTTCCTTCAACACCACTCGAAAATGGATTTGAGATAGTCTGAATAGATCTGGTTACCCAGGCAGCAGAGGGGAATCTTAGAACTCACAGGATAACGAGAATGAAAGATTCAGGGATTTGAGTCCTAAATTATTTCAAAGAGTTAGAAACTAGATCTTTAGAAAAGAAGTTAGAGGGGATCTGGGAGGAGTATGAATCTGTAAAGAATGTAAAAATGGATAGCTCACTTCAATGTTTGCAAGATTCAAGATCAGAAAGGGTCTGGCTACTAAAGAGGGGAATTTCTTGACACAAAAATCACACATTTGTAAATGGTGCATCTTTATACTGGTAATAACCAGTGCAAACTTGCATTCTCCAAAGACTTGTTTGTAAGTATCACTGCTTCTTCTAAGGTGAGAGGAAAGATGTGCATTGGCTAATAGGTTTTCTTCTATCCACACACTTTTGGTGTTCCTTCCTAATCCACGTCTGAAACTGCTTCCAGAGAGGGTTTTGCCTAAGGGCTTTAAGTTTAACCAATTTATTTGAGCATAAGCTTTCGTGAGCTACAGCTCACTTCATCGGATGCATACTGTGGAAAGTGTAGAAGATCTTTTTATACACACAAGATCTTCTACACTTTCCACAGTATGCATCCGATGAAGTGAGCTGTAGCTCACGAAAGCTTATGCTCAAATAAATTGGTTAGTCTCTAAGGTGCCACAAGTACTCCTTTTCTTTTTGCAAATACAGACTAACATGGCTGTTACTCTGAAACCTGGCTTTAAGTTTGGTGTATTACCTTCTGAAAATATCTATTTTTAGAAATGGAGTGTCTGGAAATAAATAAGTGGTCTTTCACCTAGGTTTCAAATTATAGCAAGACTTTGTATGTTGAACAGTTTAAAAAACAATTGAAAAAAATCCTAGAGGCCTGATTCTGCAGTGGTTTGACAAAAAGCATAAATGAGCCACAGGTTAAAATGGCCCTGTATGCTGGCATATTTTACTGAAACCGAATGTTGCAGAAGCCTGGGAAGATAATGATGGTGTTGACAGCAGTATGTCCCATTCCTGTATGGAACTGGAATGCAGTGTGTGAATCCTGACCCTGAGATTAGTCATACCACTGTAATAGATACTAAGCAGCAGATGAAATTCATCCCTTTCATATGGAGACTGTATAAAGTTCCAATAAGCATAAATCAATGTCTTTCTCCAGCACACCCAGGCCTGGTGACATATTTTCAAGGCACTTTTCTCCTTTGGATTTTTTAATTCCCTTAAGAAGATCAGTTATACAAACCCAGTTCTGAGTAGGTCCCACACATTTTTGCAACTAGCATTAAGAGCACAATATGACTGGCTTGTAACATATAGGCCCTTACTGTGGGAAATATTGTATGCAAACAGAAGACATACATTTTTATGTATATAAAACGGGTACATGTCATTAATCGTTCAAGTATTGTGGCTACGGAACTCGCTCTATAAAAGACAGACGTTTCTTAAAGCTTCTTCATTTTCAGAGCCTTCGAGGGTGATTTTTGCTTCTGTACGGACAGGAATAGTAAATTTCTGTGAAGGTGGCGGTGTATTCCAGAGACTCTATGAATTTTCCTGATTGGGTTGTTTTACCAGTTTTTAGGAGATTGCTGTAGAGTTCAGTTAAGTTCATTGACCTTTATATTTTCAAATAGGAGACAACTTTTATCTCTTCCTTGGGTGGGTTTATGGGGTTTTTGTTTTTTGTTTTGGTCCTAATTATTAGCTTCTAAGCAAAAAAAGGCAAATAAAGAGTAATGGAAGCATTTACTTTACTGAAAATACAAAAATTTACTTTCCAAGTTACTTAACTCTAGAAACTTCAGATATACACAGAATGGGATTTTACACATGTTGGACAGAAATAAGCGAATCAAGCCACGACCAGAAAGATTCCAGAACTGCAAAGATGTGTTTGATCTGATTCTAACTTGTGAAGAAAGAGTCTATGATCAAGTAGTAGAAGGTAAGGACCTTGGATGGTTAAACTAAGTTTACTTCAATTACCCTTTTAGTCCCTCTCAAATTGGAAACATCTGTATCCAACCCATCTGGCGTCAGCTGGCAGATGCATCTGGGAAAAGACTAGTGGTCCCTGATCTGGGGTCAGATGTGTCATAAAGGTGATGGCTGGCTGGGAAAATGCCAACTATATCTGTAAAAGATGTTAGTGGGGTGTGCAGGTGCCTTCAAAGCAGGTTGGTGGGATTGGAGGAGCTATCCTGAAGGTCAAGTACATTTACAGACTAAGATTCCAAAAGCTTCTGAGGTCGGAATCCCAGCAGGCTGAATATGGTGCATCCTGTCTTTATGGAGAGGGCGTCACCTTGCAGGAGAGAGATGCAAGACAACCCTCCTACCTACTTCCCTGAAAACAGAAGTTGCCATTTGGAAATGAGTCCATACAAAAGTCTAGGTGTGTCAGTTGCCCAATCTTTACTACAGTTTAGACCATATTAACAGTAACCAGGCTCTGGCATAAATATGGCGAACATTGGTTCAGTGTGTCCACACAGCAGTGTCTCACCAGCTATGTTGGCCTGTTCACATCTCCATAATACATAACTGGGTCTGTATGTTCTAGGAGAGCTGCCTAGATTTTCCGCAGATTACTGATTCAGCTGAAGACTGCCAGAGGCAGAGGGTTGTGGGTGCTCTTCTATCAGAGCCGTGCACCATGTGATATTTTCCCCCCTGCCTCCCCCTCCCCCCCCCACCCCATGCAAATCCTGGCAGTGGGAAGACTCCTAGACTTTAAGGCTGATCATCTCGTCTGCCCTCCTGCACATTGCAGGCCACAGAACTCCACCCAGCCACTCCTGGAATAGACTACTAACCTCTGGCTGAGTTACTGAAGTCCTCAAATCATTATTAGAAGACTTCACATTACAGAGAATGCCCCATTTACATTAGTTTAATCTTGCAAGTGATCCATGTCCCCTGGTGCAGAAGAAGGCACTCCCCCTCTCCCCGCCAAAGAGTTCCTGTCAGTCTGACCTGGGGGAAAATTCCTTCACAACCTTAACTGGTGATCAGTTAAACCCTGAGCATGTGTGCAAGACCCTGGAAAGCACCAAACACCTGGAAAAGAATTTTCTGTAGTAACTCAGAGCCCTCCACATCTAGTACCCGATCACTGGCTGTTGGGGATATTTGCTACTAGAAGTCGCAGGTGGGCTACATGCCACTGTAGGGAGTCCCATCATACCGCCCCTCCATCAACTTATTGAGCTCAGTCTTGAAGCCAGCTAAGTTTTTGCCCACACTGCTTCCCTTGGAAAGCTATTCCAAGGCTATTAGAAATCTTCACCTAACTTGTTGATGGCCAATTTATATCCATTTGTTCTTGTTAGCATTGGTACTTAACTTAAATAACCGATCTCCCTCCCGGGTATTTATCCCTCAGATATATTTATAGAGAGCAATCCTATTTCCCCTCAGCCTTCTTTTGGCTAGGCTAAACAAGCCAGGTTGTTTGAGTCTCATCATAAGGTAGATTTTTCCATTTCTCTGATCACCCTAGTAGCCCTTCTCTGCACCTATTCCAGTTTGAATTAATCTTTCTTAAACATATGAGAGACCAGAATTGCACACAGTATTCCAGATGAGATCTCATCAGTGCCTTTGTATAATGGTACTAACGCTTCCCAGTTTCTATTGGGAATATCTCGCCTGATGCATCCTAAAATTGAATTAGCCTTTTTCACGGCCGCATCACGTTCACGGCTGATAGTCAGCCTGTGATCAACCAATACAACAGGTCTTTCTCCTCCTTTGTTGCTTCCAACTGATAAATCCCCAGCTTATAGCAAAAATTCTTTTTGTTAGTCCCTAAGTGCATGAACTGGCTCTTTGCACCATTAAATTTCGTCCCATTGCTATTACTCCAGTTTTTAAGGTCCTCCAGATCTTCTTAGCTAGCTAGGCAAGGTTAGAGGGTCCCATCTGCATTTCAGCAGACCTGCATTAGAGCCTAGTTACTGCCTGACAATCATGTTACAACCCTGTCCATAAGCAGGGTTGAAGCCAGGTATGCCAAAACAGTCAGAAGCCGTGGGCTAACAGCCTTGGTGTGGATATATAGAGTCAGCTCCATTACAACCTGACTATAAACTTATTAAAAACTGTAGCTTGGATGATCCCATAGTCTGAGAGCTATCTCCAGTGCTTAATGGTATCAAGAAATGTTAAGTTTGTTTTTTATTGAGAGAAGTGGAAACTGGTTCATGTTACACTAAGTAAGCAGGTTTCAGAGTAACAGCCGTGTTAGTCTGTATTCGCAAAAAGAAAAGGAGTACTTGTGGCACCTTAGAGACTAACCAATTTATTTGAGCATAAGCTTTCGTGAGCTACAGCTCACTTCATCGGATGCAAAGCTTATGCTCAAATAAATTGGTTAGTCTCTAAGGTGCCACAAGTACTCCTTTTCTTTTTACTAAGTAAGCAACCGTTCAGTTGCCGAATAGTGAATGCTTAATGCTTACATGGCACTCTCTTGTGCTAAAGGCCTTTAAACAATCCTTATAATGTGCCAGAGAGGTAGAGACGTGCTATCCCCATCCTGTGAATGGGGTAAATCAAGCCAAGAGGTGACATGCCCAAGGAAATGGAGGTTCAATAGCTTTCTTGGTGGTTCTTTCTCAGTTGAAGCCCTCTTTACCTGTTTCTCTTAATGCTGTCACAGAACAGCTGCCACTGTTGACAGAGCCCAGCTGAGTGTGCCAGAGGGGCTGTTGGAGAATCTTGAGGAGCCTCATGGGCGTGTGCCGCCACACGCTGAAGGCTAATGCAAATGTGGTGGTGCTTAGAAGTGAGAGCGGAGGCAGGAACGGAGCAGTGTAGCAAAGTCACTAGAGGAGCTTCTGCTGAATTGTTGCCCTGCATTTATCTTTGGCCGGCATTGCCATCACCAAATACAAAGGACGCACTCTGGTTCGTTAGAAGAGTCTCTTTACTACTCCACTGGAGACAAAGTTCCTGTCTTAAACATCCCTACAAATGCTGTCCCTTAAAATTCAGAGTGCTTGGCTCCAACTAATGGTAAAATTAGCCTGGGGAGTATAAATCGATAGTATAGATGTAACAGTGCTTTGCACATACATGGTGCTTTTCAAGGGGGATTGTCCTCATGTTACAAATTGGGGAAACTGAGCACTATGAGGCTAAATCATTTGCTTGAGGGTATACAGTCAGTGTCTGTACCAGGAACAGAACCCAGCCTCCTCGGTAACCATTCAACATGCAATATTCCATGAATCGTGAGGAGTTGTCTTTAAATTCATAAAGCAGCCAATAAAATCCAGTATCTTATATGTTTAAATAAAAGTTTTGCCTGCCTGCTTAGTCCCGTATCAGCATGTTGCCAGCTCTCCAAATCACTGTCTATTTCCTTTGGGTTTCTGTCAGTTGTACTATTGCAGAGCTCTGGGGGCTTTAAGGGATCTGGCTTGGACCCAGTTTGGCTTTTACAATAGTAAGCGGCCTGAGATCTGAATGAATTGCCACTAAACTCAGCATGCGCTGCTCGCAGAGAACAGCTCTTGCTCTAGTATTTTAGAAGAGCGTTTTCTCTATATGAGGGTAGGTGGTGGCAGGCAACTGCTCATTCAGTTTCCACATTGTGCACCTCTTTCACAGTGTGACGAGACTCTTCATAATTGGCAAATGAACGAGGGTTTGAGTGCTGCTGCATAGCTCCTGCTATGAATGGATGATGAAATGTTAAACCGGAGCCTTTGGCTAACTTTGCCAAGCTGAGGTTGCAGGAGGTGGGTGGGAAGGAGAGCCTCTTGTTAATGCAGAGCACATGACTGGAAGCTTTATAGAGTAGTGAGGAACCACACTAATAGATATTCCACAGCCTTGCAGAATATGCTTCCCTGGGAAGTGTTAACTTTTTTAATCTGTGAGTGAAACACATTAAGGCCAGTTATTTCAAAAATGACTAGTGAATTTGAGCCCTGGCTTTTGAGACACCTTAAAGGGACCTTACTTGCAGAGGATATGTGCAGAGCATTCTCTGAGAAACAGGCCTCTTTAAGGTGTCTCAAGTTGAGTACCCAAAATCACTAGTTGCTTTGGAAAATCTTTGCCTAGGTCTTTATGATCATCCAAGTAAAGGCTGGGCAAGTAACTTTTGTGCTTGGGCAGGTGAGCTCTTGTATCCTTCTGGAAGGTTCAATTATTTTATTTATAGCCAATCTCCTTTTGCTTCACTGAATACTTGGGGGTGCTGCACAGCAAAATAGAAAAACATAAAATAGCCTGACCTCTTAAAACAAGATTCAGGGAGGACTGAGACAGGACAAGACCTGTTTCGTTACTATAGCCCTCTCTCCCCATAAAGGCCTTACAAATATTTTCTTGGATGTCCATTTAAAGCCTGATGGTTTTCTGAAGTGTTGCTGTTTTGTGTGGTGTTCCCAACTAGATTTGAATTCCAGAGAACAGGAGACATGCCAGCCCGTACATGTGATTAACGTGGACATTCAGGATAATCATGAGGAGGCGACTCTGGGAGCTTTCCTTATTTGTGAGCTATGTCAGTGTGTAAGTATAAAGTTCTCATGCCATATGGGCACCTTGGACTTAGCTGATTACAAGGTTTTTTTTAAAAAATTACTTAGTTTGTTTTTGTTTGTTTCACCTGTGGTAGGTGAATCTTTACCTAAAACAAAATCCATATTGACAGACTGATGTTTCTAGAATCCTTCCTTAGGATTCTCTTCAGAACGGATGTGCCTAGATGGATGAATCATCATTGAATGAATGTTTTTCTAGGCAAAAAAGTTTAAAACAAATACATAATTAGCCATGGGCATTGTGCTTGAATGAATATGCAATTCTTTTAGCAACTATTGTTTAAATCCAATATTGCATAGCCTGCACGCATCAGCACTTATTACACATTGAACCCCAGATGTGCTAACACTTCACTGTGTGCATGGAAACCGTATATACTTACAGGCGCTTATGTCGACCCAAGCTTTTACTATACAGTGATTATTTTTAGATGTTAGGTTCTGAGGTGTTACAAGAATGAGGAGTGCATCTTTTCGGAGGGTTGCCCAGAATGAATCCTCATTTGTATGTGTGGTGGGGGAGACGTAAAATGCTTAAGCAGCTGGTACCTTCTACTTTCCACCTTCAATAGTCTTAGCCCTACCACCTTATTTAATCAACACTTGTATCTTTGCTGGCTGATGCATTAAATTCTAAAGAAATCTAGCATCGTGTCCACGAAGGCAAAGGGAAAATTCTTCCACAAGCTAATAAGCCTTGATATTCCACTCTTATGGCAGACTGGTATTCCACAGGGAGTCTGGTCTAATCTCTTGATGCCACACACACACTTTCAGTCTCCAGAACCTTCTGTAGGCTTGATGAGATGGCAAAGCTCTCAAGTCTCCTGTGTGTGCTTGTGGAACTTGCACCTAATGTGGAACTTGCCGCTACTTTGATTCTTTCGCAGGGAATACTGGGTGGGGTGGAGGAGAGGTCTCCTCGCATCGCATGATCCAGGAACATGCTTATATGTAGTGCTGCCAAGAATATGCTCTAAGTAAATTGGTTTGTTTGTTATGCTATTGTTACCCAGTCTGATCGGAAGAAAAATATCACCAATATGTTGAGTGGGAACTAGAGGGGCTGTAGATGTAACTTTCTTAGGTCCTATATAGTCTCTCTCGGTCTTCTCTTTTGTCTGAGGACAAGACATAATTCCTGGCCACACTAGTTAGAAGCCTCCACTGCTAATATAGGTAGTAGGGGACGAGGATCACAATGTAGATGGGACCTTGACTGTGTTTTGTAATCTGGCTCAAGTCTTGGCTGTGTGTTGAAATAGGATTAAGGTGCCATCCGCATCGCAAAATGGGACAAAGTTGTAACTAGGTCAGGGACAACGGTATTTAACCTGCTGCCTCGCACAGTGGTCTTTCTAATGTATATGGGGCCACTGTGTTTGTTTGAAAAATGGTTCTGATTCCAGTGTGAATATGGCCCAATGTGCGAGTCTGTCTGCCTGAATTCCTTTGGGGATTTGTTTTTGTTGCTAGTAGTGAACTCAACAACCAAGCTGCATCTTTAGTAATCAAATGTGGTACAAATTACATGTCGATATTATAGTTGCATGTTATTTTGTATGTTAAAGAATACATATGTGTATCTACATATTGGGTGCATTCTTAGAATTACTAGCAAATTGCCAATGAAGTCCTTAATGTTTTATAATTTGGTCCGATTTAGAAATAAACCTAAACAAAGGAGAGCTGCCTTGTTACAAACTCGATCAGCATCATCTGATGTCAATTACTGATGTGTTCTTCCTCTTCTTAGATACAGCACACAGAAGACATGGAAAACGAAATAGATGAGCTGTTACAGGAATTTGAAGAGAAAAGTGGAAGGACTTTTCTTCACACTGTCTGCTTTTATTAAAGCACATCCGTCGCTTAGGCCTTAATGCAGATGAAAGAAGCATGTGTGTAACGTTCTGACCATACTGTACTTTCCTGGAAGATGAACTTCGAACTTTTTTTTGTTAATAATTTTCCTTTTCAGTGTTTGTTTTTACGTTTCAGGTGTTCTGCCACAGGCAGGCAGAGAGACCTGCTGAATTGTACATATGAAAATGAGAAATAAAAATATACATAAAGGCCACCTATTTAAAAATAAAAATCAAGATTTTTTTAAAATCCTACTTTAATTGTTGCAAGTGGGATTTTAATTATAAAGAGTGTTTCTTGAATATGATACAGTTTATATTGTATTTTTCCAGCTTACCAATTTATTTTATTTCAGTTGTGCATTTTTTTTCTTCTTTTAATGTAATTGACTGAATGGCTGGAATATGCAAAGATGTGAATGGGAAATGAGTATCTGTATAATATTAGATATGACATTGGAAGCATCCAATAAAAATGAAAATCTCTATTTCCTCCCTATCTTTGTTTTCAGAACAGAAGCTGGATACCTGCATGTTGGTTCCTTGTGATGAAACTAAAGGTCTCTAAAAAAGCATTAGAGAAAGTGGGGTCAAACAAATGAATGTGTGTTTGAGGGTATGGCACTGAACTGGGACTTAGAAGTTCCAGTTTCTAGTCCTGGTTCTGCCAAAGATTTCATATCTGACCTTGGGCAAGCTGCAGAGTCCCTGCTCCTGAAGTGAAATGCATTGAGGTCAGTGAGACTCCATACATGTGCAGGGATTTGCTTATGCACATCTCATTGCAGGAATCAGGGCCTTAATCTATTTCTGCCTCATTTCCCTGATATGTCACTTATAACCAAGGTGTGCTATGTGAGGATGAAATAATTACTTTAAGGCCTTAAGATACTATAATGACATGCCACAAGTAAACAGATGTGTTCCATATAAAGAATGGGAAAGTGTAAAGTCTAGAAATAGGAATGATTTAATTATAAAAGGAAATTGAGTGTTTTTGGATCTAAACATTCCCTCCCGTGTTATGGTCTCAAACAAGGTTAGTGTTTCTACTGGCAGGCCAAAAACTGACCAGTCACTGTTCATAAAGGAAAAGCAAAACATAATTGTATGGCTCAAACTGAGGGAAATGCCAAAGGTGAACAGCATAAACAGTGAAAATTAAGTAATTTATTAGAAGGTAAGAATGGAAAAAAGTGAAGAGCTACTGGTAGAAGATGAGAATCATATGTTGATGGTGTCTCTTTAAAGGTAGCCTATCAAGGATTGAGAGAGGACTAGGTTTGTGTCCTTTTTACTTCTTTATGATGTATTATAAAAGGTGTTTGCTTATTTTAAAATGACACTGCAGTCAGAATCCAGATTCCTATGTTCTATTTCTGGTTCTCCCATTGACTTGCTATGGAATCTTGGATAAAACTCTTACCCACCCACCCATTTCACAAAGACACTTAAGCATGTGCTTAAAGCTCCCTTGACTTCAATGGGATTTCAGCACATGCTTAAAGTTAAGCAAGGGCTTAAGTGCTTTCCTGAATTGGGGCCTTTGTGTGTGCTTTCCAATCTGTAAAATGCAGATATTTATCTACCTCTGTGAAATACTTTGAGATCTATGCATGAAAAGCCCCATGGAAGTGGCAAGTATCTACCACTTTCCTAATCTCTTTAACAAACCCAGTTCAAAGACGTATTTCTTAAAAGGTAGAATGGATGCAAGTCCAGTATCTGACCATGTTGCTTTGCACCCAGCAGCTCTTGTAGCTCTCAAGTGCAGCTTTCTGCCCCATCAAAGGCACCATGGAAATTCTGCCCCTCTTTGCCCATGCAAAGGCCAAGTCATGATTTGCATTAAAGTGAAAAGCCATGACCCTGTAGGCTGACGTGCTTTCCAGGAATGTCCTAAGTAACCACTAAATTATACTCTGATCATAGAAAGCCCTACCTCACTAAAATATCCACACACCATTTCCCCCCCCCCCCCTCCCGCCAAAATGTAAAAGTTACAAACAGAAACCATCTCCTTGTGAATACATTCCTATGACTAGAGGGGAGTTAAAACTGTGGCACTTATAAGCAGTATTGCTTGCATAGTAAATACATTTTCATTGTTTCTCTTCTCATCCTGTTTCCTTTTGTTCCTTGAGACTATTTACTTAAAGGCAGGATTTCATTCAACTTCATCTGCTTCTGCTCATTCATATGTTTGTGACATCATAGCTGATTGCTATGGGAATATTTGCAGGCAAAGAAAGATGGTTAAGATGACTCTAGGAGAGCTAAAGTGCTTAGAGATGGCCTCTTTAAGAAAGGCGTTCCATGCATCAATCATCCAGAATGATTGAACAAAAATGTAAAGCAGAATTATTGCTTCCCCCCCCCCTTCACCTCAGATGGCATCAGCAGCTCTGTAGAGTTGAACCCGTGGCGAGCAGAAGCGGGCACAGTGTTGGGAGCTGTATCCCACTTCCATCTTCACTCTTTCTTTATTGTCCCTTCATAAAAACTGAGTAAGCATCTGAGGATATTATTGTACATGGCCAGTGAACATGAGTTTTGTTAGCTTTTATTTTAAGTGAGTGTGTATCCATATAAAATGTATATACATATCCAGGAGATCTTCAGAGGTATTCTTTCTGATTACATAGGAATATGCTATGTATATGTGTGTCTAGAAGGGAAGCATCCCCATTGCTCTAGCCATTAAGTGTGGATTCATGTAGAGAACTTGAACAGTTCAGCCAAAATTATTCCATTTGCCAAACAGCTAACCTGCTGTTCCTGCAGATTATGCATGAACCACTTGAATCCACCCTTCACCCCAGCTTTGCCTCCAGATGTACACAAAAGGCTTTGATCTAAAAGAATGCTCTGGGGTGTGGGATTCTACAGCATCACCCTCTCCTTTGTAAATTGTGCTTGGTCACTCAGAGGTGGAATTTAAACTGGGAGCAAATTTTTATCTCTGAGGCAGGAAATAAATTGTAATGTTAGCAGTCCTCCAAATTTTATGAGCTAAGCTGTATGCTGAAACATGCTTCATTAACAGCCACCTGAATGTATAGACGAGGATTAAGAGGGGCCCACAACCCAATGAAAAGTGATTCTAGCTGCCCTGTGCAGAGACTGCTTTCCACTCGTACCTTGCTCTGCTGCCTTCTTGAGCTGTTCGTGTGCTGACACATGTTGATTCTGAATTAAGTTATATGATGGCAAAGGAAAGATGTATTTGTACTCAAAGTGTTCCTCTGTTTGCTTCTAATGCCTTTCATCTTCATCAAAGCCCACAATAACAGGGTAGGGCCTAGAAAAACCCAAAAGGTTCCTTTTTAAAAAAAAAAAAAAAAAAGATCCTACTTGAGCGGTCTAAATCCAAGCAACCTCCTGGGCCAAAAAATGGCTTTCAAGATACAGATTAGACCAATGGGGATGAAAGGAAAAAAGGGATGAATTTCTGTTTAAGAATATGGAGACACTCCATAAACCTAATGGATGATACTGGCACGAGAAAAAAAATTTAGAATCACAAGTTTAAAACTTGCACATCATTGGGGTGTCTGGGTGAAAGTGATTTGTAGTGGTGCAGCATTTTAATTGTATGGATATTCTGACATTACTTGAAGGTTTAACAAGAGTATAGATGGAAGAGCAGAGCTATCTATCTACATATAAAACCATCCTCACCTGTCTCGTCAATAATTGGGAAGCATTCAATCATTTTTCCTCATTCTGGAGTTGATGCTCTTTACATCCAGCTAGGAAAAATAATTAAGGGGTAATGCTCCTCGTGGGGTCTTGGATACAGTTGCTTAGCCCTCTGTTGGTCAGAATGGGTGGTGGTCCTGGTTAATCTCTCCAATCTGTATCAACCCAGAAGTGGTGGCCTGGAGTAAGAGATTCCTGGCAGTGATTTCTTCTTTCTAAATTTAGTGACTACCTTTCGTCAATATTGTTTTCACCACATTGCCTTCCCATGAAAGGCCTCATCGATTTAAGAATCTTTCATATCGATGTGTGTTTACAAGGCCTGGCTTCCCCTTGCTTCTAGAAGATTGTAATTATTTCTTGTACTTTTAAGTCATCTACCTAGGAACCCAGAGTAGTTCTTATCTCCCCAAGCTGAGTCCTTAGCAGATCGCACCTCTAACTCCTTTGGGGATTTGCTCCCAGTGCCTGTCAGAGATGTGAAGTCGTGTGGGTTTCCAGGTTACAGTTTAACAAGTCCCTCTTTTTACACAAGTTGCTTCTGATTCAGGGTCTTGGCTTTTTCTTTTGTGCTTATTTATCTTGACTTGTACATGAACTTCATAAGGCTTGGTGAAGGCCCTTCTTTTTGTCAGAAGCATCAGGATAATGTCTCGCAAATGGGCTTCTGGAACTAACTCCGCAACGAGAGACAAAGGTATTGTCTTGGGTCTATCTTGCTGATCTCATCCCTTACATTCTCCACACGTGGGCTTCCATTGCTGCCAGAAGACGTTCAAGGCACCAAGCAAGTGCAAATGGTGCAATAGACCTGTGTACAGTGGAGTAGAGAGAACTTTCCCTAGGATTGTAATATGACTGGAGACAATCCTGGAGTAAATTCTTTGTGTCTAGAATCCCCACAGACTAGCTGGGCTCCTTAACCAGCTCACTGCCAAGCAAGCCACCTACCTCCTATTCTTGGCCTCTTTTTTCCTATGCCTACAGGTGCTAGGCAGGGTTCAGAGTGCTCAGCAAGCCACCAATTCTGGGAGCAGCATTGACGGAGAACCATTTAGCTGCAACGAGGGGTGCCTGCTGTAGGCCCTCAGTCAGTGAAGGGATAATGAGGAAAGCCTCTCGACAGCAGCACTGATAAAGACAAAGCTCGACAGGTCAAACTGACCTGGCTGGTTTTTGTAGTGCTTTGCTGATGAAGATTTAGTGTAGTGGTGTTTTGTTTTTGTTTTGTCGTGTCTTTCCCCCACCACTTGGGACCAACATTTCCTGTAAGCTGCAAGCACACACAAGCTCGCTGCATAATTGCAACTACCACCCATGTCATGTGGCTGGGAGCGTGGCTTACTCTGTGCGCCAGGCTCTCAACCTGCTGAAACTGCAGTAAGCAGCTCCTCACCCCATGGGGAAGCAGGATGGACCTACAGCTTGTGAGCAGTGGGGGGAAAGCAGGGGCTTCTGGGAAGGAGGTGCCCTCAAAAGCTGAAGCTCCTGGGAGGGGCTGGTTGTAGGGGTTCATGGGGTGTGGGAGGGAATAGCTCTAGGCAACACTAGGACCCTTTTTGTTAGTGGGGGGTGGCTAATGGCTGTTTTTTCTGCATCTGGGAGGTGGCAACCATACTTACTCCTAAACTGTGGTGTGAACCATCCTGCCTTTGAAACTTGCCTATTGCAGACGTTCCAGCCCCATCTGAAATCTTCCCCTAGCACTTCAGCAGAGGGATGCTTCCTTAGCAGGGATCCTGCATACGAAGTCACACCTGGGGAACCTAAATCAGTCTGTTCATAC